GCATCTGGTTTCAAAGCAGGAGCAGCAGCCCCAGAGTCCCCCCATGGGAGCATCTCCCGCCACCCCAGCACCCGGCGCCGCATGGTCCCTGCTGACCCCAACAAGGCACGGCCAGCAGCAAGGCCCCTTCCCCGCCACCAAACAGCACTCACACCTTCCTACTCACCGGGGAGGAAGAAGCTGGTCTCAGCAACCCATCCAGCCCCAGCATCGCGCGGGGACTGCTGGCTACCGCAGACTGGTGTCCCACTGGGGTCAAGGTCTGTCTGACCACGGGAAACCACTGGAGACTTCTAGCAAAGGGGCAGGATCAGAGCAGAGCCTCCAGGCACGCTCTCTTGCTCCACATTTCTTCTCCTCGCTAAGCAATGGAAAGAAAAAAAGTAGAAAAAAACCCCATATCTGACTCCGCGGTGCCCTCATACCATGAATTTCTGAATCAGTGGTTGCTGCAGGTCCCGCTCAGGGGATTTTGGGTGTGTGGGAGAAGAGGGGAAGGAAGGGGATTGTTCAACCCGTGCGTGACTCATATTCTTCAGAAGCTGAAAAGAGCCTTTTCAAGGAGATTTTCCAGCCACTCAGGTCCTCCAAAGGGGCTGCCCTATGGCCCCAGGCCTAAGGTTTTGCCCATCTGGCCTGCCACCTGAGCCCAGCCGAGCTCTGGCAGCCCCTGCCCAGCCTGCCTGTGCGATGCAGCCTGGACAGCGGTGCAGCCCGGGACGTGAGGTCCAAGGGACTTGTACGTGCAGCAGGAGGTGCAAGTAGGGTGAAGGTGGAGATCCAGCTCTGTGAATCAAGGCTGGACCTCCATCCTGCTGTTCTACGGGGGCTTCCACAGGCCTGGGAGCACAGACACAACCCCCGCTGGCCTGTGGGAAGCAGCACACGCTGCCTGCTGTCAGGATCCTGCTGGACATCCCACCTGGGCAGCCTCAGCCTGCCACCACCAGCCAGACACCTCATCTGCTGGCACAGGTTTCCCAGAGGGGTGAAGGAGGGGACAAACATCCCTCCTCAGTGTGCTGGGAATAGCCACCTCAAGCCCTAACCCGCTGAGCCTGGCTGAGGGAGCCCAGGCCCAAAGGTGCTGGAGCAGAACAGACTGTGCCCCTTGAACAGCTCCCCTTCTCCAGTGCCATCAGCCCCATCCCCTCCACAGGGGTTTTCACAGCTCGCTCATCGCTGCCCTGGACACTTCCACTTGTTGCAGCAAACAGCATGACTAAGGAACATCATGGGGTTGCGCCTGTGTCTCCCCAGCCCGCGCAGCTCTGGCTCACTTGGGAGGTTGCTGGCCACACGCCTGCGCACTTGCGCAGCGCGCGTTAGAGGAAGCCCACCTTGCTTCTCGAGCAGAGCTGGAGCACCGTCGCCCACTGCCTTGCTCCTGGAAGAGCAACCTCGGGCAACCTCAGACTGCTCTCAAGGTAAGTCCTGCCTCCTGTGCTGAGCAGCCGTGCCCCTCAGGCCCCTAGGACCCTGGGTTTCCCCTAGGAGTGTAGCACACTTGGCTTTTATCCCCCACGCATCCTAGAAGGGGACCTGTCTCACCCTCCTGCCATCAGTAGCATCCCCTGCTCCGTGGTACCCAGTGCTTCTGGCCTGGGCCCTGGGCTTGCACACACACCACAGGGCCCCCCCTTTGCTGGGCTAATTCCTCCCCATCTTCAGACCTTCCTAGGGCTCAGGAAGGATTCTGCAGGCATCGCTGGGAATGGGGGGAAGGATCAGCAAACCGACTGCGATGCACTGCCCGGCACCAGCTCCCTGCCCCGGAGCGCAGCGCTGCCACAACACCCTTGCTGGATGGCACAGCCTCCCCGTGCCAGCCAGACTGCTTCAATTAGGGGCCAGCTGCCGGCAAGCGGCGCAAGTTAAAGCCTTTCTTCCATGCCTGCAGCTCCTTGAACGTGACCTAGTAATGCAGGTGCTATTTTCTTTCCTCCCGTGACAGCCGGCTGACTTGCAGAGCCGATGCCCTGCGGGCGGGAGGGAAACATCCATCCGTCTGTCTGCGGCGGGAGTGTTTAAGCAGCCACGGGAAAGGGTGCTCCAGAAACGCAGGAGGCAGCACGAGCGTGGCTCTGCTCCGAACCGCCCTGGTGTACAGCTGACATGTTCCAGCCACCCAGCTGGCTGCTCCTCTAACATACTATTCCCTGCACATTTTGTTTCCCCTGGGGCCTGCTAATGCCTGCAAATGATGGCCCTAAATACCTGACCTTGCTTTCTGCACAAATCCTGTGCTCTGCTCCATCCCAGGCGTCCCAACAGCTGCTGACAAGGGTCTGGCAAGAGGCTGCTGAGGCCCTCTCGCACAACATTCACAGGGACTTTGTTCTGAAACCCTTCCTGGAAACCGAGTCCTTGACCTGCAAGTGTGGCAGAGAGAAATCCCCTTTCCCTGAAAGCTGTCCAAGCCTTCCCCTCCCTGACAGCCTGCCCCTGAGCACTGAAGCCATTCGTATCTCTGCATAAAATGCTTTTACTCCCACCGTGGCTATCAAGTTGGTTTTGGCAAACCCCAGCCACCCACTGATCTTCTGGTTTTCTCCTCTAGGGCCTGTAAATCAGCTGCTTTGCTGTTGTGTTATGAACCATCGGCTACCGTTGTGTTTCTGTGCACCCTCAGAAAACCCCTCTCAGCACCAGCCAGGCATTTGCTGTCTCTCACTCTCCCTGGTTTCCCCTCTGCCCATGGTATCGCTACTGCGTCGGCGTTCACGGCTCCATTTGGGGTAGAGCTAGCTGGGCCTGCGGGCACAGGTCTCTTCCCCTCGGGGTGGGCAGCAAGCCAGCCCTGCTCGCGGCGCAGGCAGGGATCGGGGCGTGGAGGGAGAGCCGCGGGACAGGGCAGCATTCACTGGCAACACAGAAACAGGAAAAAAAGCAACTTCCCCACTGGCAGGGAAACCAGTGACAGCACCAGCGCCGGCACTTGCTTTCTCCTCCCCACACCAAGACAGCAGGTCTCTCTCCAGCCTCTATCTTCCCAACATCTCCTCCTCTCCCAGCTCGCCCCAGAGCCGGCCGAGAGGCAGCCACGGGCCCG